CCACACGCTCTTCGAGTTTTCTGTCACAAATAATCTCATCTACACATATGTGTAAAATTAAGCATTCCAGACTTTTATGCCAGGGGAACCTGCCTTGTGGATATTAAATATACATACAAAGACATTTTTAAACGAAAAAAGACAGAACCCCGTTGCTTGCCCAAGGTTCCTGGCTCACCGTCTGAGAGAGAAGAGCGTGTATAAAGCTCGCCTTGTGGAAATAGCCCTTGGTTCGTGACGCGGGAGGACACTTCGTCACAATACGCACAGGCGTCAAGAGGGGTCAGTGTCTTCTACTTCATGAAATTAAATAATGTACAGCCTATGATCTTAAATACTGATTTTACACCATTAATTTGCAAAGTTTTATTATAAAATTTTTACTTTGTTCAAAACACACATGCTACCTTTGTCCACGTTTCAATCAACGCCCCATCATACCCTATCTCCGCCCTCCACTCCCCCAGAAAAGGTCTTTGCTTCGTAACACATGAAAAATCTCCTCGAGGTGCTATTTAGAGTCACTGTTCTGTGATTCTCAGCCCTAAGGGGACTGGATTTTGCAAGGCTGCTTAGCACAGGGATCTGTTTCCAGGGGAGGCACAGTGGGACATGGATGGACGTGAGAAGACGTCCTGTGGGCACAGCTGGGTAGAGGGTTCCCGATGGAGGGAGACGCCGGATGAGGGGGGACAGTGAGCACAGGACATGCAGGGCTGCCGAGGTGCACGCCCGGGCAGGGCAGGGACCAGCGAGCAGCAGCCCTTCACGACCAGAGTCCCAGCCGCTCACGTCGCCAGTAGGAGCCCAGCGGTGCCACTTCGTCCAGTGGGTTCTGCTTCGCTTTCCGACAGTTTCTAGAAAGATCTTTCCAACCAAACAAATACGAGCAAACAGCAATGAGCCCTTGTTCGTCTGACTGAATAATCTGAAATAGAAGCTCCGAGAACTCCGGAACGGGGCAGGGCAGCAGGAAGGTCACACCACTACTGCACTTGCCCCACTTTCCAACTCTGACCTGATCTCAGTTGCAACTGAAGTCCCGAAATAGCCGGGATAGGCAGGGCGGGCTTTCTGAGGACACACAGTGTCTTTGCCGCTGAGACCCTGGAAGGGCTCAGGGCCGCACTGTGGGCTGGGCACAAATGCGGTGACGGCGAGTGGGAGGCAATGAGCCAAAGACGGACCGAGAGGCGACTCTGGCCACCAAGAGGAAGGCAAAGGGCTCAGCCACGGGGACAGCAGGCAGGTCTGGGGCACTTGGCGTGGTTCTGGGAGGTGTCACGTGGCAGGGGTGGCGACGGAGCGAGCCCAGCACCCACGTGTGTCTCAGACCAGGGCGCCCCCCCCACAGCACGTAGAGGGACAGCTCTGCCTCCGCGCTCCTTAGCATCTCCGCGGGAGCGCATTTCAGGCCGTTCCTGAGCTCCAGTCTCACTAAGACACGTGCTTGCTTTTCAGCTATGCTTAATGCCATCTGCTGAGCCTTAAAACCAGCCCGTCCCAGACTCAGGCAGACAGAGCAGCACACGCTCGTTCACGCTCACACTCACACCACCGTATCGTGACTTCTGATGTGATTGAAATGAAAACTCACTGCAGACGTCGTCATCTATTACACCTAGGTCACAACCTGCACAATGAAGAAACCTACGTCACAAAGAAGGCCGGCCCGCTGCTGCTTCTACATGAGACAGAAGTGGGCTTTGTCTCCCGGGACGAGGCCTCGCCACCGGCCTCAGTTTCCCTGGAGGCCACAGCCACTGATGGCAAAGCGAGGAGCAGGGCTGGGCACACACTGCCCTGATGTGCTCGCGCACGCGGACACCCTTGGCGGTTTTCTCTGTCGCCCCTCCTTGAACATTTATGAACGCCATCTACAATGGCCTATCACCACCACCAGGAGTTTCTTCCCAGGTCTACTTCAGGAGCTGTCAAATGATCGTGCTCTTTAAATAAACTATAAACATCCCATCTTTCTCCTCACGTCTGGTTGTCCCAATTGCTTGCTTGCTTTTTTTTTTTTTTTTTTGTGGCAAATTAAAAGGCGTATGGCTTCTCCTTGCCCCCGGGTGCGTCTGAGGCTTAGCGCGGTCTCCTGCGGTAAAAGTACAAGTAGCCCAGGTCTTTCGGGGGCCTCTCCGAGGCACAGACTTTGTGGTCGTTGTAGATGACCCATCTGAAAGCAGAGACAGAGCACTGGGTGGGTTTCAGCCAGCTCCAGGAAACTTGCAGAAAGAAGCTACTGCATCAAATGGAGCATGTTACTGACGAAAACCAAGACGTTCTAATATAACAAAACTAAAGTCCGTTGTATAACAAGAAACAGGGTGCTGGTGGGCATCACAGCTGCTTTCTGATTCTCGAGCTCAGTTAAAAATACTAGAGTGTGGGACCAGCAGGTGGCGTAATGGCTATGTCCCTGGACTCCATGTAGTCAACCGCAGTTGGAGTTCCAGACCAGGTGGCTTAAACTCACGCCAGGCACGTGTGCGTACGTGCCCAAGATCCCGAGAGGAGAATGGAGGAGAAGGGATTGCGGCATGGCCATCCCCCCTGGGGGGTGATTTCTCACTTTCTGTCTCTCTGGCAAGTGCACGCACCCTATAACAACAACAACAACAACAAAAAACTCTACAAAAAAAATACTAGAGTTATTAGGACTTTCCAAACACTTCAAACCCTCAATCCCACAATTCGCTTTGTAGAAACCTCTAAGAAATTGAATCAAAGAATTATATAAAACAATGTATCCTTCAGTCTTAGATAGAAAACTAGCTAAAAGTGAGAATTAAACATCCACGCAGTGACAAGTTTTAGAACAATGTAAATTTTTTGAAAAAAAAAATTTGGTGAAATAAAAAAATAACTACAATATAATATGAAGTGGGAAAAGACAAGTTGCCAAATTGTACTTATTCTGTATATAGTTTGAGTTTTCAGAAAAGCTGTAAATACACATGTATATTTATCTATATGACATGTGTAGATAAATATACATGTATCTTCTTCCAATGTGATAAATAAAACCAAAAAAAGTCAAAATATAGAGTGATAATATTTAGACTTCCGGAGTACATATTCTTTACAAGGAATTTTTTTGCTTTTGAAATTAGAATTAAGTCATTTCTCTTTGCAATAGAAAGATTCATTATAAATACAACTCCCTGTGCTTACCTTCTTTATTAAGTTGAGAAGACACAATTAAAAGATAATCCATAGGCCAACTCCCAAAACTAGTGGTTAAGGGAGCAGGGTCCGACACGTATGACTGTAGTTCAAATCCCAGTCCTGGTGGCTTGAAAAACACACCAGGAACATGTGTCTGCATGCCCTAAGTCCAACAGGACAAGTGGGGAGAGGGCTGCACCACGACCCTGCCGCCCTAGAGGGTGCTCTCTCCTCTCTCCTCTCTCTCTCTCTCTCTCTGCCTCTCTCCTGCCCGGTGCACACATCCTCTGACGATTAGAAAAAAAAAAAGATCCACCCACAAAGGATACAACTGAGTTCAGGTGGGAACTTGCACTCCTGCAGAGGCCAGGAGAGGACAAGGTTCCAGGCTTCTCCAGCACCCACCCAGCGAGCACCGCCTCAAACAAGAGCGCTGACCTGGGTCTCAGAGGGAGCTACGGGATGGTCCTAGGCGAGAAGCCCCCTCCCAGACGCCGACGGTTTAGCGTTGCCATAGAAAATGCCCAGTTAAACATGAATAGCAGGTAAGTGGCAAATAGATTTTTAGTATGTCCCACGTAATATGTGGGACATGCAATGTTTGAAGCATACTTATACTAAAAATTGATACATTATCTGTCTAAAATTCATATTAACAGAGCATCTTGCTGTTCTTTTTCTGGTAGCCACATATAGCAATCGTATGGACATCCCAAATATGGTACACATCCTGCCACACGTGCGTCTTCTTTGTTTTTAACTAATTAACTAATGCATTTAACTTGCCATAGGATGCATGTGCTCCCCCCAAGAGGATGGTCGTGCTGCAGTCCCTTCTCTTCCATTCTCCCCTCGGGATTTTGAACACACACAGACATGCACCTGGCATGTTTCTCAAGCCATAGGATCAGGAACTGAACCATGCAGGCAGCCATGGCCAGAACCAGTGCCCAAACTACCATGCCACCTGCTGGCCCCTCACGGTGCATCTTTTTTCGGGAAGTCGCCTTGGTATGATGGCTAAAGTGGCTTTGAATTTCAGTTCTGACACAGCTATGTACCAACTAAGGTCAAGCTACACAGCCTCCAAGACCCTCGCGCAGGGTCTGGATGAGCAGAGCCATGTGTAGACACTCCCACAAGACCAGCACCTAAAGAGACAACACATGGAACGTCTGGCAGGACAGACAGCAGGTGCTCCACACGCCAGGGCTGCCATTTACCTTCTCAAACAGACTCACCTGCCTTCCTTTTTGATGTGGCAAACATAATGTCCACTCATTGTAGATGTCCCCATGTGACTGATGAATGCAAATAATTCGTACACTGTGAGAAAGAAAACGACTCAGTTACAGACAGCATGCTAGAATCAAGTGCACTCTGGTTCAGAATTGAAAGCCAACCATGATAATCCGGTAACTAACTGCTTAGATTTGGAAAGCAGAGTTCACTTACCTTGCATGTTAGCCACACACACACACACACACATACACACACACACACACAGTCAAAGGGAC